CGGACGCTTAACCGACTGCGCCACCCAGGCGCCCCTCATTATCTCTTTTTAGGGTTGTTTCCCTACCTTATTTTTAAACTTAAGTGTTTTCAGAGGTCAGAAGAGAAAATCATTTTCAAAACCAGAAGAGAAATGCAGTAGTTTTGAAAAGGGTGACAGTAGGTTGAAATCTGTGCTGGCGATTTTATCTTCGTTAGCTTAAAGTAGGGATCAGCAAACTGTGTGTGCGTCAAGGGCCAGGAGGTAACAATTTCAGGCGACTTCGCATGGCCATGGTCAGGGGGAAAAGCCGGATAAAATTCCTTGCCCAGGGAGGAGGCACTCCAGGTCGGCAATAGGCGGGAGATTAGGAATTATCTTCCAGGGTGAGGGGCTAATACCTGAGCACCATGAGACAACGATACACTCTACCCCAGTCTTCTCTTTGATTTGGGCAAGTCTCCAGCGTGGCCACTTAGCCCCCTTGTTGACATTAGTAGAGAGCAGGGGCTGGAATTCAACACAAATCTTCGGAGTTTTCACTCAGCCCTTACCCTGAATCTTTATGGGTGTGTGTGTGTGTGTGTGTGTGTGTGTGTGTGTGTGTGCGTGCGTGTGTGTGTGTGTGCGTGCATGTGTGTGCATGTGTGTGTATGTTTCTTGGTCTCTCGTGGCCCAATTATAGAGACGCGATTGGGTTTTTCCCATTTTTGAATGCTTAAGAATGTGCGTGTACAATTGGGAAGTATATAGGTTTGGAAATTAACTTTTCCTAATGATTTGAAATCACCAAGATTTAATTGCAGACAATAAAATTCGCCAATGACATGTCCACATTTGAAGGAGCTGTGGTGTATCTATACAGCTGCAAGGTTATCCACACGATCCAGCTTTCTAATTGTTCCACCACCCCCGGGCTCCCTTTTTCCACATTCGTGGTCAGTGTCCCTCCCACACTTCGCTCCGGGCAGCTTTTCCTTTGCTTTCTGTGTCCACGGATTTGCCTTTTCCAGAAATGCCATATAAATGAAACCCTACACTATGAACTGTTTTGTGTGTGGCTTTTTTCACTTAGCATAATGTTTCTGAGATCCGTCCTTATTGATTATTCTGTCAGTGGCTTGCTGTTTTGTTTTTTTTATTACTGAAGAGTTCCATTGCATGGATTTATTACATTTTATTTGTCTCTATACCAGTTGATAGTCATTTGAATGATTTCTAGTATTTGGCCATTAAAAATGCTGCTACAAATATTTGCACGCATGACTTTTGAAACATTTCTTTCAAGGAGGTAGATCTCCAGGGTGAATTGTTGAAACCTGGGGTAAGATTGTGGTTAGTTTTTCTTTTTTAAGTTTTATTTATTTTTGAGACGAGAGAGAGAGAGAGAGAGAGAGAGAGAGAGAGAGAGAGAGAGGCAGATGAGAATCTGAAGCAGACTCCACACCGTCAGCACAGAGCCTGATGCGGGTCTCACGCTCAGAAACTGCGAGATCGTGACCTGACCCAATGTCAGACGCTTAACTGACTGAGCCACCCAGGTGTGCCCCAAGATCGTGTTTAGCTTTTTAAGAAACTTCCAAACCGTTTTCTTTTTTTTTTTTAACGTTTTTATTTATTTATGGGACAGAGACAGAGCATGAACGGGGGAGGGGCAGAGAGAGAGGGAGACACAGAATCGGAAACAGGCTCCAGGCTCCGAGCCATCAGCCCAGAGCCTGACGCGGGGCTCGAACTCACGGACCGTGAGATCGTGACCTGGCTGAAGTCGGACGCCCAACCGACTGCGCCACCCAGGCGCCCCCCAAACCGTTTTCTAAATGGGGGTACCATTTTACATCCTCCCTAGTTTCTCCACATCCTCACTAACACCGATAGTATTTTTTTTAATCCTATCCAGGAAATCGTTTGTTGGTGATGGAAAATGGAACCCCTAGGAACCTCACTTTTGAAGAAGGGATGGTATTACTTGCCTCCTTATCTTACAGGATTGCTCTAGATCAAAGGAGATGGGAACTTTTGAGCAAGTGCTTTGTATGGTAAAAAAATGTTACCGGTGACTGATTATGCGCAGGAAAATTTTTAGCTATTAAACTTGACACATATCCGTCTCAGAGATCAGGATGGAAACTTGTCCAAGTTTTAATAAAATGTGTATGTTATGATCAAACTTTTAAAGACGGTTTTAAACTCCAATTGTGAGCTTTCTCCATATGCTAGGTTGCCATATTGTACATTATCAGCCTTATTTAACAATGACAGAATATAATGACTTGCATATGGTGGGCAAACTTTTCTTCCCCACTCCCAACTTGGATGGTCTGGTAAATGTCTGCTTGTGACTTCATTTTTAAATGCCTGTGGGTGGCCTCTTTACTGGACCTGGGCATATGTGTTCTATTCCAATAGAATGGAAGCAGAACATTCGGGGGCTCAGAGAAACCACCAAGAACAATCTATGGAAAAATACCTACTTTGGTTTTACTTTGCAGGTCTGATTTCATGAACATTGCCGGTTTAAGCTTTTCCAAGGAACAAAGGGAACGTTTTACATGCATTTCCCTTCCTACCTGTGGCAGACAGCTGCTGTCTGTAGGTCTAGTAGAACTGGCCGTGAGCTTCCGACTGGCAGTCTGGGCGGATTTCCTAGAACTTGCTTACGAGCAGCTCTTCACACCTGTTGAAAAAGACCTTTGGACTAAGGAAGGTGAACTGTGTGTTTGATCATGTAGGACTGTGTCAACAGAGGGCTTTACGGTACCTTCACCTGAGAAGGTAGGAGGGACCACCGCAGCCAGTGAAAGAGTCTGCGTGCCATATAGCCTCTGGAAGTCTGGAGGTTTGTGTTCATCCTTGTGACAATTTATATGAGTTCGGCAATGTCTCGTGACGAAATATCGGATTTGTACCAGACAGATAATTTTTAAAAATAATTGTTTTTAATCTTTATTTTTGAGAGGGACAGAGGGTGAGATGGGGAGGAACAGAGAGAGAGAGACACACACACACACAC